CCAAATAGTTTACTCAGTAGAATCTCAGTATGTTTTCAAGTTGCAGTTTCATTCATAAGAGCCTTCCCAAGAAGGATACTTTAAAAAATTCAAAAGTGCATTTTGCGGTAATCTTTTTATGTGTTTTTGTATCAGACCTGTTGACTATCACACATGCTAATGAAAGACACTGCAAGCCTGAACTCATTGGGCAGCTCTTCTACACAAATGTATATGCTTCATGGCTAAAATAAATAAATGGCTTCAAATACATATATTTTTGCATGTTGTTTAATATGTTTGATATGTATTATGATTAGTTCTGTAGTGTGTATGTTGTCATTAGTTTGTGGGGAACAAACTTGTTTCTTTGGGTATGATAAAAAACAACTGTTCAGTTAATACCAGCTAATTGTGTTACATAATCTCAGGTTTCTAGAAAGCTGCTGTGTTTTATGAGATGTATAAATGCAAACTCATGCGGATTTAGCAGTGGCGTATTTGGCTGAGAAATTGTTTTTAGCTAAGAAAAGGCTAAGAGTTTTTTCATTTTTCAGATACTTTTTAGAGATCCTCAAAGCCTTGACAGCTATGTCTTTTCAAGATCAACTGTATTGTTGAAAAATCAGTGTGCTGAGTTTTCCTTCATGTGTACTTCTATATTGTTATATGAAGATTGAAAAAAAAAAAAAAACTTAATTGGGGATTTTTTGTCTTAGATTTGGTCTCTTTGAAGCCATGTCTGCAATTGAAATGATGGATCCCAAGATGGATGCTGGTATGATTGGAAACCAAGTTAATAGAAAAGTTCTTAATTTTGAGCAAGCTATCAAGGTTTGTGTATTTTGTTTGTTTGTTTTTTGCCTTTTCACTGTCTTTAAAAATATATGGTTCAATTAAAGTGCAGTTAAACATAGTTCAACAATTCAGCATAATAAATGTTTTCAATCTTTTTGTAAATTTTTCTTTTTTTAATTTGGATACCAAGGAAATGCTTGTTCTTCTTTGCAACCTGTTTCATCACTAACTCTCCCAGTGCTTCTACTGTTCAACATTATGATGCAAAAGCAAATTTTTTAGAATTGTTGAGAGAATCTATGAAGCTGATCTGTGAAGTTAGTGGAATACAAATAATCTGAAGTCCTAATCAAATTGTAACTTCCTTTTTACTATAAAGAGTAATTTGTATTTTGCATGTTGTAACACATACTCTATTGAAGTTTTTTTCTTAATTTTCTAAGGATGGGACCATTAAAATAAAAGATCTGACTTCACCTGAGTTGATAGGGATTATGGATACATGTTTTTGCTGTTTGGTAAGATTTTCACTTTTCTTAATATTTAATATGTATGTTTTTAAAATGCAGTCCCTTAAACCAGTAAAAAATATGTTAAAAATAAAGACCTTAAAATTGATCCATTGAATAGTAAAAATGTACTTTATGTTTTAACTTACATTTTAGTGGATATTATTATCTAAATTGTCAGTTACTTGATTTTTTGATGATTGTGGTTTAGTTCCATTTGCAAATAATACTGGATGTTTTCAGATGATCTCTAAAATGATTTCAATAAAATAATCTCCTTTTGTAAAAAATATTTTGCATTAATTTATTCACAAAAACCCATATATAAAGGTCACCGTATTTGATACGGTGTAACACAATTCCCCAGCTGACTTTTTCTTTTTAAAGGAACTTTGGTCGTGTTAGAAATCTGATCCTACAATGTTTCATGATATTTCAAGATACAAATTATGTTTTAAATTGCTCTGTAGTTTACAGCAGGAAAAAAGTAATAGAGGGGGGCATGACAAAGAAGTTATGAAATATGAAAGAACATGCAGATTGCACCTTGTTTGTTTCTTACTCGCATTTTTGATTCCTTATTTGTGTAGAGGAAGCTTACAAGCCTAATGCTGTGGTAGCTTAATGTCATGTCTATGCCACAAAGATCAAAGCTGGTGACTGAACTTTGTGAAGGAGGTTTACCCATCGCCAGGTTTTGATAGTGTTTAGGGTCTAATAATTTACTGCCTTCCACTGCCAGCAAGTGGAGAAAGGTTAAAGGGCAGGAGATGCTTTCTGGTCTTTTTTGCCAGATGGAAGGTTGCCATGGTATGTACTTCCTCGAAGACTCCCTGAAGCAGCGTAAAGTAAAAGGAATGGGGCTATAAAAATGCCTATTTGTCTCTGAAAAGTAAAGCATTTAATTTTCTTTTTCCTAGATAACGTGGTTAGAGGGGCATTCCCTGGCACAGACAGTATTCACTTGCCTTTATATTCATAATCCAGACTTCATAGAAGATCCTACTATGAAGGCTTTTGCTCTGGGGATCCTAAAGATCTGTGATATTGCCAGAGAAAAAGTTAACAAAGCAGCTGTTTTTGAGGAGGTATGTTTCAGTATATGCTGTTGTTAAGTATACAGCTCTTATACAGGCTCCTTAATTCAAATAAAAAACAGGTATTAGCAAAATTTAATACTGTTTGATTGGAGGATAATGAGGATAATTCATCCTTCTAAACAAGATCTTAATATCTCTTTAAAATGCAGTTTTATTCAATAAAGATGTTACATGTTCTTTTCTATATTCTACACAAATATTTGAGCCACTTAAATATTCTAATCAAGCAGCAATCCAAATCTCATTTCCCATAGCTTGAAATCGGGTTAACTTTTTGGTTTAATGTTGGATTTTTTTTCTTCAGATAAGCATGATTGTTTTTTGCCTAGAATGTTCTTCTGTTGGTGGGGTGGTAGTCTAGTTTTCTGTGCCCTGTGACTTTGGACAAGTTACATCACAATGGCTATATGTAAAATTGATTAAATAGTATGTCCCATCTGTAGTTCTGGAAATGTTTTGATAGCACAATGCTAGACGCGAATTATGGTGGAAGCATTGAACAGCACTCAGCTTTAAGGATGTATGCAGAAAAAGGTTATTCCAAACTGGTGTGTTGTTGTTGTTGTTGTTTTTTCCCCCCTAAACGCTAATTATTACCTCCTATGTTCCATTAAATTCCCTTCTTCAATTTTTATGTTTTAGGAAGACTTTCAGTCGATGACTTACGGATTTAAAATGGCCAACAGTGTGACAGATCTTAGAGTTACAGGTACAATTTGTGCTTTGTATGTGTCTGTCTGGTACTGTGTTTCTATTTTGAGCATGTTGGTTACTTTCAGCCAAATCTCATGACTCAGTGGGAATCTCAGATGTTGTGTTTTCTGTTGATCTTATGAAAATAACTTACTGAAAATATGTTTTTTGCCATGATAAAAGCTTCCTTTGTTTTGTTCTCATTTCTCTCACTTTTTTTTAATGCCCGAAAAACAGGTAGAGACTCAAAGAAGTGCCAACAGAAAGTCTGTTTTTTTTTCCAGTAGTTGTAAACCTATGAATAAAAAAAAGCTAGTTTTGAAGATATTAGCCTTTATATGCACAGTTGTTTATAATATTTTGAGGTTTTTCATTGACTTATTTTAGAGAATTAATAGAACACTTCAGCTTTGGGTCTGCCGTCCATACTCTGATATTATTTTGCAAAAAATCCCACCATCTCTGATGACAGTTTTTGTACTGTATAGTCTTTAATGAGTGTTTAAAGCACTTCAACACTTAATTAAACTCTAAAGGGTTTTAGGGTTTTTTTTTTCCTACTAAGTGGTATACATGTGTTCGAAGAATAACTCTCAATTTCTAATTGTATTTCAACTTTTTCAGGTATGCTAAAAGATGTAGAAGACGACATGCAAAGAAGAGTGAAGGTATTTGTGTAATTTTTGCCTAGACTCTTATATCTGAAGTTTGCTTGGAATAAAGTTGCTAGGTTTAGGGGAGAAGGTGGGAGTGCTCATTTAAGTAAATTATTCACAATTTTTTTCTGTCAGTAATGTTTTTTAAGGAATTTTTGTAATGGCTTGTTTAAGATGCTGATAATCAATCTTCTAGCTAATGATGTTCATCACTTCAGAATTTCTTAAATGGGTCATGATTTGCTTCTGTAATGGTGAGACTGAATGATAATGTAGTAGACAACATTGGACTGGGACACAGCATAAAATTAATTTCTGGCTCTTACGCTAGCATAGGCAGTGATGATTTTAAGGGATATTTAATAGAACGATGTTTTGGAGGGAGGAAAATAATTACTTACAGCTTCTGTTTTTCAGCTGTTAGTGAGTTGTTTCTAATTCCTTTTCCTTTTTTAGAGCACCAGAAGCAGACAAGGAGAAGAGAGAGATCCAGAGGTTGAACTTGAAGTAATATTGTCTTTTAATGAGTATCTGTCTTTAAATATCTTTCAGAGTTTAATGAGTATTTCTTACTAATTTTCAGTATTTTTTTAATTTTTTATAGCATCAACAGTGTTTGGCAGTATTCAGCAGAGTCAAGTTTACCCGGGTACTACTGACTGTTCTTATAGCATTTACCAAAAAAGAGGTATATTCATTTGATATTTCAGTCCTCACACTATGATTCTGTGATATATGTATTTTTTATTTCTGGATAAATTGGGTAGATCTGGGTGAAGCGTTATAATAGCAGCTTTTCCTTTTTCTTTCAGTTTTTTCAGAAGACACGGGGAAGGAAAGTGAATGACATCAGTATAGCCTTGTAGAGAGGCGTATTTTAGGTCATACAAAACTTAAACTTTTACCAGGTTTAAATTACTCTTTTCATATACACAAGTAAAACTTTCCTTTCTCAAGTAATACTTTCTCCATCTTTAGTAAATCCTAAAGGATTGTTTCAAGGCAAAAATGTGGAATTCCATGGGTTGGATTTTTTTTTCTTGTTTGCAAGGGCAAATAGTTGCTTTTGCTTATTGTTCTGTTTCCATATTTGCAAAGAAATAAGCTTCTTGCTTGCTAGCTTGAAGTTTCTCACTCCCATGTTCTGTGCTGTTGGAGCAGCTGTGTATGGAGCAGTTTTAAAAACCTGGATTAGAATGGAATTCTAACCCGAACATCATCTGTAGAAATCAGTATTGAAGAAAAAAAAGATTGAGTACTTAAAAACTGTTGCATTCTAAGTGTAATCATTTACACTGAGTATAGCATCAATAATTTAGTCTTCATCAAACTATCTGGTGGTGAGCTATGTTTATCTATTACAAAATTCTTTCTTTATTAGCTGCAGCGAGTTAATGGTCTGTACAAATTAGATTACCTTAATTTAGCTAGTCTGAAGTTAGTTACTTAATGGGTGTCTCTGAGTAAGATCTGATTTAGCAGCCTATTCTTATAGTAGATTGGTGAAATATTATCATAATTAATATGTATTATGCAGAGTTGGTTCAGCTTTATCAAGCTATATCAAAAGTTATGTCAGGGACTGCAAATGCTGTGTTTTTGAAACAGTTTTTTTTGTTCTTGCAGAAAGCAAATTTAATATTCATGTTCAAATGATGTCAGAAAATTCAGTGTGTCAGCAGATAGTGACCTCTAATAAAGATTTCTAATTAATATCTGGGTTTTTCCAATCCTGCATAGTGACTTTGTACTGCCACTTGGTTCCATCTGTATTGTCAAGAACGCTGAATTATCTAATGATGGGATTTTGTTTTCTGTTTAGTGTGCTTCATTTGGCAAAGTATGTGGGGTCTTTTTTGTTTTGTTTTTTTCTTTCTAACTCTACAAAATCAAAGGTAGAGAACAGGAATAGTATAAAGTAGATTTTCATTTATAATCACAATTAAGAGTTACCTGATTTCAAAAAATATTATGTTGTAAATTTATTGATATATGAAATATAAAGAACACTTACATGAAAACAAAATTTGATGAAAACTGAAAGAATACAAACAATAGAATACTGATAGAATTCTGAAATTAAAATAAGTTCTGTAGTCAAGATGTGACAGCTATTCTCTGCTTTTTAGACAAGTGCCGTTGCAGAAGCTCAGAAACTAATGACTCAAGCAGCTGACCTGCTTTCTGCTATTCACAATTCATTACACCATGGTATCCAGGCACAAAATGATACCACTAAAGGAGGTAATTATTGAACCTTCTTTTTTTCTTTCTTTTTCTTAAATACACATTTTAAATAAACTTTAATAAGACTATTTAAAAACTACTATGCATTTGAACCAGTAATACTTCTTTATGCAAGCTGTTAAAAAATGTGCAGCTTTTTTTCTTGATTTCATTACTCTGAAAACTTTGAATAAGCACATAGCAATCCAGATCGATATGTACACTTTCCTCACTGTCTGTATAGTCTTTGCTGAGATTTTTCCATAATCATTATTATCTCAGTTGAGTAATTAGTGTGACCAGAAATTAACTGTCAGTTAGAAAGAAGCTTTTTCTTTCAGCTTTGGAAATGCTTGTCTGCATCACTTATTTTGGCCAAATAAATTTATTGTTCCTAAAATTCTCAAGTGAGTTCCACAGCTTACATGCATCTTCTCTTTCTCTCTTTTTCTCTTTTTTTTTTCTTCCCCTAGATCATCCTATTATGATGGGTTTTGAACCACTTGTTAATCAAAGATTGCTGCCTCCAACTTTCCCTCGATATGCAAAAATAATTAAAAGGGAGGAAATGGTCAATTATTTTTCGAAACTAATAGATCGGATAAAAACTGTCTGTGAAGTAGTCAATTTAACTAATTTGCATTGTATACTGGTAAGCACGAATCTTTCTCATTTATTTTCAGACATCAGTATGTTAGTAAATCAGTGTTTGCATGGAGCATTTCGTGCTGATTAATGCAGTTTTATTATGTGTCTGATTCAGACTTGCTGTGACTTTTAGTGGTTTCATGGTATCTCTTTTACGTATTAACATCCTTCTAAAAGTTGTATCTGAGAAACATTCAGAAATCTGATGTGCAGTAGTATGAGGTTCAGTAGAGGATAATTGCAGGGGAAAAAAACAGACTTAGCTTCATAGGGAGCTTTCCTTAGTTCAAATTATATATGCTTTTTTTCCTTAAACTTTGTACAAACTGTGCTATAGGTATGTCTGTATGTATTTTGTGTATATATACATGCATATATAAAGATGCAGATATATATGTGTATTTTTGTATACATATAATGTTTATACATAAATGTTGTTAAATATACACATATAAGAAAATGGGTATATTAACCTGACTTTTTTTTTTCTTTTTTTTTTTCAAAATATGAATTAGGACTTTTTCTGTGAATTTAGTGAGCAATCACCATGTGTTCTTTCAAGATCTCTGTTACAAGTAAGTCATGCTTTCTCTCTTTGAGTCAGAATTTCTCTCTTAGGCTTTCATTGTATTTATATATTCATTCTCTAGTTTCAAGTTTTAAGTTACTTGCATACCATCTAATAGTATACAGCTTCTAAATTTTTTCAATAGATAGCTATATGGAGACTTAGGAGTTAAATTTTAAAAAAATATTTTGAGTGCTATTCTCCAGATCATGTTTATGTATGCTAATTAAATGACAATGTTACCTAGTGTTCCCTAGTTCAGAGTGAACCTCCGGGATGTTATATTTTTGGTAGATTGTCCCTGGAGGCCAAAACATCTTTTCCCTTTGATCCTGATTAGACCGTGTGTAGAACTTATAGAAAATACCTCTTGGCAAATCAGATGTTTTCACAGAGAGCACACGTTCTGACTACCCACATTAATTTTTTTGTGCAATTGCTCTGGGTTTCTAGCAGCAGAGCTGCTTTTATCTTCTAGTTTTATTTATTTATTTTCTCCTTCCAACTGCTCAAGATTTGGGTAACAGAGGAGCATGGTAACTTGCAGAGGAAAGTGGAACGAACATCAAACATGTCCAGTGAAAGCAGGACATATGCAGAGATTAGAACAATATAGGCCTCTGTTAGTCTCATTCTTTTCAGAGCAACCTTTACCTGTTTTCAGGGAAATTTCATAGCCTTCAGAAGCATTTCTCTGTTTTAACATCTCTGAAGTCCATAAAACAAAATCATTTTGCATGTATGGACTTACACATGTAATAGAGTGTCATGGGAATACCAGGCAAATGAGACTGATCGCAATATGTTTTCACATCCACAATTTTGTACCTTGTCGAGCAATTTTAATTTTAAAGTGATCTTGTAAGTTTTTAAAGTACCTAAGTAATGCAAAAGCTTTCTGTTAGTAATTTATAAAGCTTTACTTCTAGCATCTATTTCTAAAAAGATAATTCTGCTTTCAGACAACTTTCCTGGTTGATAACAAAAAGGTGTTTGGTACTCACCTCATGCAAGATATGGTAAAAGATGCTTTAAGATCTTTCGTCAGTCCTCCAGTACTCTCTCCAAAGTAAGTAAAACCTGAGTTTGTTTGTATGTGTTTGTATATCCAAAGAAAATATTTCTATTTACAGAAGCAAGGGCAGGCCTTTAAGGAACATACACGTTTTCTACTTATTAATGCTTATGTATGAAGGAGTCAGTTGCTGTTCTTGCAGTCTTTTAAATTTTGTATTATAGAGTCTGGTGACATCAATGTACATACATTACATATGGATATTTCTCTTTTAGATGTTGTCTATATAATAATCACCAGGCAAAGGACTACATTGACTCCTTTGTGACACATTGTGTTCGGGTAAGTGCTTGTTCCTTTATGATTTAAGGACTTTAAAGATTTGTTTGTCTCTGAGAACAGGAGAAATTCTACTAAATCACCTAACATGAAGCCAAAATTACAAAACTTGGCTACCTTAAAATTATTAAAGTTTTGAAGAAGACAGTATAACAATTCCTGTTTGCATCCTGCATGAGGTTTCATAAATTTTCACAAATGAATTTCACTTTATTACAAATCTGCACCCAGTATCTCTGTTATAGAGTAGTTTGTTTTGCAAAACAAATATATATCACTAATCAAAACTATTTTTTTACCTTCTTTGCATTTAAAAATTGTAAATAATTCTTTGAAAATGTTCTTTTACTAAATACAGCACACTGAAAAATCTAAGAAAACTTATTTAATCAAGAAAATTCTCTCTTCCCCCAAGCGTTCTGATCAGATTTTCCACAGGATGCCCATGCAATCTTATACTGAATTCTGTGCGGAAAGCTGAACCCTAATCACTCCCAAGAGTTTTCATAATAGTATGTGCTTCCTCATGAACCAGTCTCGTAATATAGATGTACAAATCAGGTGCCGAAACAGACAACATAGTACAAAATGTATAACTATGCTTTTTTTCTTTCAGCCATTTTGTAGTCTGATTCAAATCCATGGACACAATAGAGCTCGTCAGAGAGATAAGCTGGGTCACATTCTTGAAGAATTTGCCACTCTCCAGGATGAGGTAATGTCCTGGGCAAGAGGCCAGCAAGCCTACCTTTCCACATGTATCCCTACCACAGCGTATCATATAGTATTAATTTCTACGTGAATGACTGCTACTGCTTTTACTCTAAAGATTGTTAAAATGTTTTTCTCAAAGATTTCTAAAGTGCGGTTCAGGAAGTCTGTAGGATGCATCTGAGAATTTTTGTTACATCTGTTGTACATGAAGAGTAGGATTACTTTTTTTGTTTTTTCTTTTATTTTGTTTTTGTTTTTCCCAGAGAATAGATTTTGGGAATCACACTGTGTTGTCTATACAACTGCTTGTGGTCTGTCTATCTTGTACCTGGGATCTGGAAGTTGTAAGCAGAGACAGATTGATGAAGCTTGTTTGCAAGACGCTTCTGAGAATCCAGATTAGAATATGTAAAATATAAATTGCAAAATTTTACTTTTTTAATTTATAAAATGAGTGATAACTCTTAAAAATACATACTCAGGTGATGTTGAAACTTTGTCCAGAACGGACAATGAAAGGCCACACTGATGTTCTCTTGGTTAATAAACGTAGAGCATGAGTGTACTGACCAAATTTGTATTCAAATTCTGTTCTGGCAGAACTTGATTGCAATTTCAGATGTATGTTCTTCTTTTTCTGTCACTGAATAGTTTGTTTTCTCCTTTTTTGGTAGGCAGAGAAAGTAGATGCAGCTCTTCATAGTATGTTGCTGAAGCAGGAACCACAAAGGCAACATTTGGCTTGTTTGGGCACCTGGGTCCTTTATCATAACCTTCGTATTATGATACAGTATCTTCTGAGTGGCTTTGAATTGGAGCTTTACAGTATGCATGAATATTACTACATATATTGGTAAGAACATGCTTGATTGAAAGCTGGTGGGGGGGGGGATGCTTTCACAGAGCTTTACTTGCAAATGCCTAAAGATGACTTCAAGTACTATTCTCCATTTCAAACTTGCTCAACTTGCTCTTCAGTTACCTATTCATAAAATAAGCAGGAAAAAAGATATATCAGTCTCTTTTCTAGGTTTACTGATCAGTATATTTACTGATGACTTTCTTCTGAAACAATAATTGGCTCTTTGTTTAGCTTTTTATAAAAATCTCCTGTAATAAAATGGATAAAAGCATACCAGTTTTGGCATATAAGGGAATGCAGAAGGTAAAACCACATCTTTTATTCTTGTCTCTCCTGGTTCTGTCAAGACCAATTATTTTGTTGAGATCTTAAAGAGGACTCCCAAGTTGAAGACGTGACTATGGTCTGATAGGTGACTAATTAAAAAATAACATCTTATTCTGTGAACATATTTGAAAGGGCACCTTTCTTTTGTGAAAATGGCTACACTATACTATGGATACAAAATCAAATACCTCTTTTTTTCTTTTTCATATTTTTTTTTACATAAAATTATTTTTGTATTAGACCAATGTCCAAAAGAAAGATGGTTCTAGATGATTCATCCTTAGTTCTACAAAAAAAAAAAAAAGCGTTGAACACTTCCACATTTAAATGCTTTTGTATTCATTTCGCTTTTTGTGAAGCTTCCTATAAACTCTTACTTGAGAAGCTGTTAACCTTACTCCTGAGAGTCTAGAGCAGTTTGAAAGGCCTGAATTTCAGTACGTCTTATTCCCTTATATATTGAAGGCTTAATTTCGGTGGTCTTTAAGTAATGGGCTTCTACATTGTTTTATTGGTGAATTAAGCTTTTGAGTGGGAAAATTTATACTGCACATAGTTGCCAGAAGATGGCACTGTTCTGTGAGTAGTATACGGCTTTTACCTATCCATAGCTCCTCTCACCATTTCAGTAAGATCACTCATAGAGCTGTTGACTTAGCTTTTTTATCTCCTCAGTGTAAGTGAAGAACAAAAAAACCGCCTTTGTTTAATAGAAAAAAAATGAAATTTGGAAATGAAACTTTCAGCATTATTCCTCAGATTCTTTTTTTCTGAATTGTAGCTTCTTTTATAGCTTTATTTCTTTTTCATGATATGTAATTTTCCACTCCGTTTTTTCCCATTCCTTTGGGTTGAAACCAGGCTAGAGGTTTATATGTCCTACGCGGTAGGAAATCTCTTTTAAAGCAGTCTTAAATCTTAAAGGATTGCATGTATGTGTAGTGTTCCTGTGGGCAATTTTATGTGATATTTAGTTATACTTGAAGTTTTTTTTAATGTTTGACATGCATTAATATTAATCTTGTTTCCCAAAACAGTATCTCTTAACAAAACTAGAAGCATAGGAATATATCAAATATATCAAAATTTTAAAATATTTGATTTTTTTGAATGAGAATGAGAAGTTCTAGAAAAAAAAAAGTTTTAGTAAAAAGCCTAGGCTTAAATTAATAGGAGCACAAGGAACTTGCATGCCTGGAACTATTAGGATTGAATGTGTATGAAGTGTTGTTTAATAATATCAGGGATCAGGGAATCGTGAATTGATTACAGCCATCATCTACTTTCATCAAAAAAGAGCGATACCCTAAAAGATGTCCCGTATCATTAGTTATTTGAATAAACAACTCATCATTCAGTGAGGATGTGTGCATTATGAATAAGTTTTGCCTTGTAGTATATAATAGCCACATGCTGTTTCTACCGTAGGTATCTATCAGAATTTCTCTATGCCTGGTTGATGTCCACACTGAGCCGTGCTGACAGCTCTCAAATGGCAGAAGAGAGAATAATGGAGGAGCAGCAGAAAGGCCGTAGTAGTAAGAAAACAAAGAAAAAGAAAAAAGGTATCACAAGTGTGGAGTATAGCTCAGACTTCTGAGGTGGATTGAGAACCGGCTGGATGGCAGAGCGCAGAGGGTTGTGATAAATGGGACTGAGTGTAGTTTGAGGCCTGTGGCCAGTGGTGTCCCCTAGGGGTCAGTACAGGGCCTAGTGCTGTTCTACTTGTTCCTCATTGACTTGGACGAGGGCACAGAGTGCCCAAGCAAGTGCACCCTCAGCACTTGCACCCTCAGTGCATGCTCAGCAAGTGTGCAGATGATACAAAACTGGGAGGAGTGGCCGACACCCCTGGGGGCTGTGCTGCTGTTCAGAGAGACCTGGACAGGATGGGGAGTTGGGCGGAAAGGAACCTCATGAGGTTCAACAAGGACAAGTGCAGGGTCCTGCCCCTGGGGAGGAATAACCCCAGGCACCAGTGCAGATTAGGGGTTGACCTGCTGGAAAGCAGCTCCATGCGGAGGGATTTGGGAGTCCTGGTTGACAACAAGTTAACCATGAGGCAGCAATGTGCCCTCGTGGCCAAGAAGGCCAATGGGATCCTGGCCTGCATGAGGAGGAGCGTTGCCAGCAGGTTGAGGGAGGGGATCCTGCCCCTCTGCTCAGCTCTGGTGAGGCCGCGCCTGGAGTATTGGGGGCAGTTCTGGGCTCCTCAGTACAAGAGGGACGTGGAGCTTCTAGAGAGGGTCCAGCGGAGAGCCACAAAGATGATTAAGGGACTGGAGCATCTATTGTATGAGGAAAGACAAAGCGAGCTGGGCCTGTTTAGCCTGGAGAAGAGAAGGTTGAGAGGAGATTTGATCAACATATTCAAGTACCTGAGGGGTGACTGTAGGGAGGATGGGGCCAAACTCTTCTCCATGGTGGCCAGTGACAGGAAAAGGGATAATGGGTACAAGTTGAAACACACACAGTTCCACCTCCACGTGAGGAAGAACTTTCCTGTGAGGGTGACAGAGCCCTGGAACAGGCTGCCCAGAGAGGCTGTGGAGTCTCCTTCTCTGGAGATCTTCCAAACCTGCCTGGACGCCACCCTGTGCCACATGCTCAGGGGGTCCCTGCTTGAGCAGGGGGTTTGGACCAGATGATCTCTAGAGGCCCCTTCCAACCTCAACCATTCTGTGATTCCTTCATGTAGCCATTCAGAGTTAAGAAATATGTTTTCAAAGTCATTAGGATCAGCACTAATGTAGATAGAACAAATATCCTAAAGTTTGCATAGGCAAAAATAAATGCTTTTAACCAGAAAAGTTAGGGCCTGCATAAGACTTTTTTGCTCTTTTTGTTTTGTTTTGGCATTTTCTTAAATAGGTTTTTTTAAAAAACCCTAACATGTTTATGTGCACACCTCCACCAGTTCAGCAGTGTGACAGATGCTGTGAGGTATAATTAATCCCATTTCTTTGAAAATACAGCCTTTTACAGTCTGTGATTCCTGTAAAAGATTTTTTTTTTGTCTGGCTGTAGCTAGTTTTCTGAATTCATTGTCTTTTCTGTAATTCCTTTTTGGCTCCAGAAGGCCAAAGAATATTTCTTAATTTTACATGATGAGTTGCTGTTTCAATTCTGTGGAAGTACTGTTATGCAAAAGACTGCTTTAGATATCTCTTGCTTCCTTTGGAGTATATGCATAGGTGAGAATCAAAAATATCCTTTCTTACGTCATAGCAGATTGGCTCAGTGAAGTCAGAGCTGTAAGCTCGTGAACAGAAAAGCAGCCAAAACCAATATTTAAATTATATTTGGTACATATTTGCCATGCTTAAGAGGCTGTGACAACTGTTTTGTTGGTGTTATCTTAGCATTAACATTGCAAATGATGAGCAACATGCAGAAATTGTACTTCTTCCTTTGCTATTCATTCTTGCCTTTTGCATGTTTATTTGTGTTTTCCTTTCAAAGGGACCCAAACAGTTAGATAAGAAGTTCAGATCATTTCAGCTGTACTCCCAGCTGTTAGCACTAGCTTAACACTGGAAGCTAAAGAGGAGGTTAAAGGAATGTTATTGGGATAAAAGTCTTCACTGTTATCATGCTTTAACCTTCTAATGTTAAATTTTTTTAAAAAATCCTCCAGTTAACCAAAGCAAAGGTCTCTCAGCCACTAGCTGTAAATTTTAAATTACTGTTTATTGCTGTATGGTGACATGTTCATACTATTGGACCAATTTATTTTGCTGAATTCAATGTTGTGATTGCATAATTGTTACTAAGTATAATTTAAGATACTTTGCTTAATTTGGAGACAAGTGAGCTAATGTGACTGCCCAATCTTTTTATGCTGCCATTATTTTTGTTGATTTTTCAAGAAGTACATGACTTTCTGAAAATGTGAAAGGAACTCTGAAACTATTATGTGTATTTATGTTGAATTAAAAATCTTTTTATGTAAAATTCGCAGTTCGCCCTCTCAGTAGAGAGATCACCATGAGCCAAGCATACCAGAATATGTGTGCTGGGATGTACAAGGTAATTTATTTCTGCTTGCTTCAAATTTGGTGGCTTGAAATTTGTTAATAGAATTTGAGCATACATTGCTTGCCTTCTTCATTCTCATTGGGACTGTGAATGAAATTTCAGTTTATAATATTATGTGATGAATTTTCTGCTATTTTTCTATGCTGTCAATTATAGTTAAATCATAAATTCCATTTTGTTAACAGCAAAATATAACATATTTATATGCCTTGTTTTACTTTTTCCTCTCATTTAGACAATGATTGCATTTGATATGGATGGCAAAGTAAGAAAACCTAAGTTTGAACTGGATAGCGAGCAAGTTCGATACGAGCACAGATTTGCTCCATTCAACAGTGTTATCACACCACCCCCAGTACACTATTTGCAGTTCAAAGTGAGTAATCTTAGATGTGGTACGTTGTGGACGGTAAAAAGAGGTTTAAGAAGACGTGAAGTGGCAATGACTTCTGGCTTTAGTTGTCTCATGATATGCTGTGGGAAGATACATTGCTCTGAATTCTTGCTAAGATGTTTAGAGGTTGGGCTGCAGTTTAGCAGTTTGAAATGCTTGTGTTGGCTTGCATGAAAGTAAAGTCTACTGGAAGGCTATTGACAAGCCTTTTATTTGTGGTCGGTATAGCAGGATGTTTTTGCAACTGCAGCAAGCAGTCAGGAAAATGAAACAAACATAAAAATAGTTTTGGGTGTTAAATCCCCAAAGTGCTTGTTGGAAGGGAACCGTGGAGATTTGTCGCATCCAGTTTTTTCCTTGCAATAGCAAGGAGATGAGGTCAGCTGGGGCTTTATCAAGCCATGTCTGAAAACCTCAAAGGTTGACCAAGAATCTCCAGTCTCTTTGGAAAACTGATACAGTTAAATCAGGGGATTTGTTTTGTTTTTTTTCCAGTTCCTCTTTTCATTGCTACTCTGTTTTCCTTCTTTTTAATATCCAGTCTGAATCTCCCAAACTACAATAGATGCCTGTGCCCCCGCTTCTTTTGTTGGCATTACCAAGAAGTGTTTGTCTTTTGACAACTTGGTAGCTGCTGTTCATGTAGTTGTAGGCTGCTCTTAGGTTGCCTGTTCACATCCTTCTTGTCCAGGTCCATTAAGCTCCCTTGTGGATCATGTGAACTAGGCTGTAGC